GCCCAGCGAGCTACATCTGGTCCTTCTTCCCATAGGGTTGCAAGATTGGAGGTCAAGGAGATGCCCACCTGGCTGGTTCCCTCCTTCCCTGCTCATGCAAGCACAGGCCCCTGAGGTGACTGGGGTTCACTACTCTGCAAGTCAGAGACAGCCTTGAGCTCAGGGCATCCTTCAGGAGTGAGCTACCTCTTGTTCCAGCCAAGAAGAAACAATAGGTCCCAGGCTTACCCAGGGGCTGAGGTAGGAAAACGTCTTTGGAAGGGCAAGGAAGTGCAGATCAGCAATGGTGTGGTGCCCAGGGAGCTCCCCAGCGTGCCCTTGAGAGCCCCTGGCCCATCTCCCAGCTCTGCTCAGCTCTCCCAGGTTCAGCTCTCCCAGGTTCAGCTCTCGGCAAGCCCGGACAGAAACAGCCGTGGAGCTCACCTTGACCTTGGAGTTCCCACTACAAGCACAAACAGGCCTTTAAGAAGACTCCAAACTTCCTGGGGAGGGGGGTAGTTAGGGCGAGTGGCTGTTGATTGCTGTGTCATTTTCTGGTGAAGTTCCAGACGGTGGGCCTCACCACCTCTCCTGTGTCCAGCAGGGGCCAAGGGGGCTCGAGGGAAGTAGGTGCTTTGAAGCTTCTGGCCTTGAACTCCTGTGCCCTGCCTTGGTGTCAGGAAGCTTCGCAGCTGCTCTGGGCCAGCAGAGTCTTCTCCCGCCAACGTGGGGCTTTTTGGATTAGGGTGTTGGTGAAGCAGAGTTTTGGCGAGAGCCTTGGCCGCTGCTGCCAGGAGGAGACTGAACGGAGATAATTAGACCTGGGAATTGGTCTGCTTTTTACTTTTTTTCAGGCGACAGCTTGAGAGAAGACACAGTAGAAAGTCGTCCTCCAGGACCAAGGCTACGCCGTCCCCGTTCTAGGGGAAAATGCTCGTCCCCAGCTCGTCTAGTGCCTCCTATAGCGTCTTGCCTGGCACATCTGACCGTGAAATGATTCTCTCCAGCCCACGCTGTCCCAACACAGCGATGAAGCTTTACTGCACCTGGGTCCATGCTCAGCCATGTCCTTGCTCACCCACATGCACGCTCACCTAGGTCCACACTCACCTAGGTCCACACTCACCCATGTCCATGCTCACCTATGTCCACGCTCACCCATGCCCACGCTAGGCCTGGGCCCAGGCACCTTAAAACTTTGAATCCAAGGGTGATCTTCAGACGGAGTTACCCATTCTGGCTTCAAGATGAGGGGCCGTGGGCCTCCTGCAGAGGTTTCCATTAAAGGCGTTTGTTTCTGGGCAGAGCTGACTCATCATTTCCCCCCAGATAAGTCTGCTCCCTGGACGTTTTCCAGGCCCCCGTCCCTCCGGTTGGCTGTTTCTCCAGACCAGATGGCTCATATTAGATCTCAATTTTCAATGTGCCACCCTCTGTGGTCACATGGTCTGGATTTGTCCCAACCTGAGCAGCTGATTCACTCGGACGTTCTGGGAAGTCCTCGCCGTGTGATACACCTCTGCACATGAGCATCTGAGCTGCGGGGCAGATCCCCCTTTTTTGTGGGGAGCCGATTGGTTCCGAGCACAGACGCAGAAGTGGGGTCCTGGGAGACTGACGTCGGCCGCGGGCCGGGTCCCCAGGAGCTCTGCGCCGTGTCCTCGGGGGCTGGCACTGCCATTTGGAGAGCTGGTTACTCTAAGGCCATCCGAGGATGGACTAGGTTGCGATCAATGATCTGTTTTTGCGGCTGTTTGATGTCTCGGGTCACAGCAGAGGAAAGCATTCGTGACCAGTTTGAGCTCTGAGAGTTTAGGTTCAGACGGGATGTCTTTCCTCTGATTTCCTCTTTTCCCAAACGTTTATTCACGAGATCGTTAGTGAGCGCATACTGTGTGCCACACCTTGTGCTTGGGGCTTGGGGAAAAGGGCAGAAAGACAGTTCTTGCCTTCGAGGACGTACCGAGTAATGTCTGAGATAGGCAGATCTCAGTCAGGACACAGTGAGAACGAAGTGAGAGCTGATGCGATGTGGTCACCAAGAGCCCAGACCCAGGGGCCAGACCGCCTGGCTCGTATGCCTGCCCCACTGCAGTGTGACTTGGAGGAATTACTTAGCCATTCGGTGCATCCGCTTCCTCATCTGTAGAGTGAGAATAATGATACCTACCGTAGTGTCTTGTGAGGATTAAATTAGCGAATAGATTTAAAGTGCTTAGAACTGTGCCAGCAATGGCGAGAATGGTACACGTTCGAGATACTTTAAAAGCTGTAGCATCCACACAACTAATTGGATGGGGAATCAAGAGGAAAAAAGGGGTCATGTATTAACCCCAGGATTCTGGGAGCAGGACATGTACAGCCAAGAAAGCTGCATTTGCGTCTAGGGCCCCTACAATATACGTATATATTTAATCTCGAATAATTAGGGCCCAGGTCTCTTTTTTTGTAAAGCGGGGATAATAATACCTTCCCTTCCAACCTCATTGAGAGCAAGGAAGAGAAACCAACGTTTGAATTTCCTGTGTACCAGACGCAGTTTTATTCTGAGGATCGAGAGAAATAACATACTTAAAATGTATTTATATTAAAAACAATCCATTACAAACGCTACATACAGGGTAATTGTGATTTTTTTCCTCTACTTTGTTCTGACTTTAATGACAGCAGGTACTGGGACTATTTTTACTTCTATGTCATTCACATTTCCCTGCTATTTCGTTCCTGATTACTATAGCCTTGTGACCCATAGGAGTTGGTGATTTTCACTGGAGGAGGATCTGGGTGCACCACGAACACAGGGAGACGTGCTAGGCTTCTCAGAGGAACAGTTTTGTGGGTGCGGCCATCACACAGGTGGAGCAAAACAAACCTCCCCCGGCGCAGACCCCTGTCCCTCCAGGTCCCGGAGGAGCTGAGCTCCCAGCTCCTACGAGCTTGTCTGTTTCGTTGTTTCAGGGCTTCTGCTAAGCATGAGCTTGTCAATGGATGTGGGTGAAAAGGGTCGTTTCCTTTGACTGAGGGGAGAGGCAGACTGGGAGTGCGGGGGAGGGATGGCGGGGGGAAGCGTAGGCCTCGCTTTTGGCTCACTATCACGAGAGGCCTTCGCATGTCCTGGAGATGCTTCCTGGCGAGGTCACAGAGGTAGCCACCAAGACTGCAGGCAACGGTATGGGGGAGGAGGAAGCCCGCAGCAGAGCGAGCAGCAGTCGGCCTGTTTGGGTCACTGGCCAACACTAACAGGAAGGATTACCATCGCTGCCCTGATATCTGCAGGAAGTCGTGACATGAAATTTCAAGGACTCTACCACAGGGAGTCAGAGAGCACGTGGGATGACTTGGCTGGAAGCAAGAATCTGGGGAAATGTGTCCACGTCTCTCGCGCTCCATTAGTCTCGTTGAAGAACAGAAGGTCTGCCACTGAGACCAGCACTGGGCAGCTGTTGGAGCCACAAGCTTCTCTGTTCTCTGCTCTGCAGCCTGCGGTCTTGGGTGGGGACAAGAGATGGTCTCCTGGTAGGGTGATGGGGGACGGTGTAGTGACTAGAAAGTGATTTCCTGTCCCTCTACTTAGCCCCTCCCACCAGGCATCTGACAACCCTAGTCTGTAATGTCAAGAATGGACAACCCAGGAACCTTTATCCAACTATCTTAATGGCCAGAGGAAAACAGCCATGAGCTTGGGGTCCATATTCCCATAGAGGCCCTGTCTGATTACTTAACCAATCCGAGCCTCACTCTCATGGGCTTATCTTGCAAGGTGCTCGAAGATCAATTGAAACAATGCCTGGGGAAATTCTTGGTAAACTATAAAGAGCTCCAGGCGCAGGACGAAGGCCCAGAAGCTACCAGGAGCCTTGCGGAGCCTTTTGGGCCTGACTCTCCTGCTCTGCCAGGCTCACCCTTTTCCTGCAGACAGAGGAGACCTGTCACGTGGACCTCTTTCTGGCCTCCTCTGATAAGAGCTCGGTGCCTGACTCTCCTTGATGGTCCAGCCTGGCTCTGATTTGTGGTCTGGGGTCCTAGCTAAAAGGAGTTTGCAGAGATCGTATTGTTGACTGGTTTTCTTGTCAGGACAGGTTCACCTATGACCCCACAGCCACTGGTCTTTGAAACAGCACGGAGGTTCCCCAGTCTGGGGACTGATGAGGACTCCATTTTAGCAGGATTTGTGTTTACCCCACGACAGTGTCTTTACCTTTTATCTAGCAAGAGTGAGTAATCTATTTAGGATATTTAACCAAAACTAGACATTACCTCACTGGTATCTTATCCAAGTCTCCCATTAATTCTAGTGTTTTGGGGTCTCTGACCTCATTAAGCAGTATAAGGAGAAATCCACCGACTCTTTTTCTGCGTAAAGGGATTCACAGAAAGTACACTTGAGAAACCCTATTCTAGTATTGTATTCAAACCCTTTCTTTTCCCTGGTAAATGTCTGTTTTCTTCATTCTGGGACATAGCAGAGGAATGAACCCCAGCCCATTCCCCAAACCATCCTGACTATAATCTAGTTTAGACTCATATATATCTAAGGGAATTAAGAGTTTTATGTGTGAACTCACACCAGCCCCACAGGGAAGCATCGAGAAAGACTGGCAGGGGGCCGACCACCCTCTCTGAGGTCGATGGCTCTTCTCTAACAGAAGAGACTCAAGTGGTCACAGACCTTCTACACAGCTGCCAGAGGCACGGCCTAAGGCAGGCATCTCACATCTTTCCCCAGGTAGAGA